ACACACACACACAGAGGAATGCCATCAACAGGTCGGCCAATGAATGTTCTGAGCTGCACGTTTTCACACTCAATTAACCTCCGAGGTACAAACAACACACACACTGGAAACGTGCACACACACATGCACACGTTCACACACACACACACACAGACACACACACTCACTTGTGTCTGGTGTGTTTACTAAACAGAGATGGACAGAACAGGAGAGAGCAGAGCAAAGAAAAGGAGATTGTTCAGGCTGTGAATAGACTCACACACACACACACACACACACGTGTGTGTCCACTGGTGTGTACTTGTGTAGCTCGTGGTGTGTGTCCACACGGTCACCTTGTGTCGTCCTGCTGCTGATGCACAGGGACACTCACCTGTCCAGGTGCTTTCGTTCCCTCGTCCTGATGAGTTTTGAGCTCCATCATCAGTTCAAGGCCGACTTCAGACAAACACTGACGTCAGATGTTCAGTGTTTCTCCTCCTGAACCTTCTCCTCACCTGTCCTCACTGAGTGCTGAGCTGCTGCTGAGCTGGATGCAGATGAACCGTGTCTTGACGTGAAGCAGACACGACGCCCTTTGGGGGGAAACGTTTTCTCTCGCTGTAAGTTTGCATCTTTTTGTTGTGACTTCTTTATATTTTATAAAATAATTTTGTCTTCTTTCTGTGGTTTTGTCTCATTTCTACGTCTTTGGGACACTTTTCTTGTCTGTTGTGTCTCACTGTAGTTGTTTAATGTGTCTTTGAGAAAATCTTTTACTTTCAGTTTAATTCTAAACACTTTATTCGTCCCTGGAGCCGAGTCAGGACTTTGTCACTTTGTTGTTGTCGTTTCCTCTCGTTTGTGTTGCCTTTGTTTGGTTTGTGTCTCGTTGCCGTTTTTGTGCCTTTTTGTGTCTCGTTTCTGTTGCTGTTTTGTGTCTTTTGGGACAATTTTGTCATGTTTGTGGTTGTTTGTGTCTTATTTCTGGCGTTGGGTGTCTTGTTGTCGTCGTTCTCTTTGTCTTTGCTACAGGTTGTGGTCATGTTGTGTCCTGTTTTGTTGGTCTTTGTGTCTTTTTGTGTCTCTCTGTTGTAGTTTTGTGTGTTGTTTTGTTGTTTTATGCGTCTCTGGGACAGTTTTGTGTCGTGTTTTTTGTCGTTTTCTGTCTTGTTGGTGTCGTTTCAGTGCGACGCTGCTCAGCGGCGCTTTGAGGGGAAGCTGGTGGTGTTTCACTTTGATTGGTTATTTTACGGGACGGTTCGGATCGGATCGGCCAACCGGCCTCTGCTCATTATGAATGACTTCCTGCCGGCCGCAGACACACACTCAGGTTAGAAGACAGATCACACTGAAAACACACAGAGGCGGAAAAAACCGCTTCCGCTTCGTGGAAACATGCTGAGATCCATCAAACCAACGGAGCAGAGATTCCCCACGGAGCCGAGAGCGGCGCCGCTCAGGTGTGTGTGTGTGTGTGTGTGTGTGTGTGTGTGTGTGTGTGTGTGTGTGTGTGTGTGTGTGTGTGTGTGTGTGTGTGTGAGCAGCTGCAGGTTAACGGCAGTGACCTGGAACGGTGACGGGTCCGGCTGCTGGATGCTGCATCTCCTGGATGAGGCCGTTGTGTTTCACCTGCAGACACACAAACGTTCATTAAACACCTGCTGAGCTGCACGAGGCTCACAACCTGCCCAGAAGGACTCCCGAGTTACAGGAAGTGACTGAAGCTTGTGCTCCAAAGCCTTCCTAAATGTTGTTTGTCCAACAGAAGCTGCTGAACACGACTCAGCATCTGTTAAAAAACGACAGAAAACTTCTCCTGAACGTCTCAGAATGTCCCAGATGTCTTAATATTTGTCAAACATGACCCAAACTTATCCAAAGGTTAGCGTTAGGGCGTCTAAAACTACAGAGGACGTATCAAACATTTGTCCAGAACATGTCAGTATGTGAAGTGATTTATAAAGTGTCCGACACAACCGAGCATTGATCCAACATGAGTCTGTAATAAACGTCTCAGAGCTCAGATCTGTCCAGAAGGATCTAAAGCCTCCCACACCAGGATGGTCGGCCCAGACGTCTGAAAATTAGTCACAAATGACCCAAATGCGTCCCGCGTGACTCCAGGTGAGCAAAGTGTCAGAAAATTTGTAAAACAAAATTACTTGAACTTTTTCCACGATGGTGAAAGTCTGTGGTGAACAACTCAAACCGCTCAAGTGACCGAAGCAGACGAATGTTTGTCTCGGTGCTGGTCCGAGGAGACTAAACCTTGTCTGCTGGTTCAGTCCACACAGCGGCTTCTGACTGATCCGTGTGCGGCTCGCGGAGGACAACATGTATGTGGGGGAAGGCGGAGGCCGGACGGCGGCGAGTTCTCAGGCGTCCACGTTACGTAAGGAAGCTGCTCAGTCAGGGGAGAGGAAGACTTGAGTGGTTTCTTCTCCACATCCGTCTGCTCGCTTCACTTCCTCCATAAATATGGAACAACCACAGAGTCACCTCCACCTCTGAAGCTTTCTGCTGCTCCTGGAAACCTGCAGCTGCTCATCGACACCACTCACAATCCAGTTTGTCCAAAATCATTTCCTAGAAACTGGTAAAAACAGCACCTCTGAAACTGGCACCACCGTCTTCTAAAAGGATAGAAACCAAATCAGAACGACTACAAAAGTCCCCAAAGTGACGCAAAACACACAAATCACCTCAAAATCTGTTCAGAGCGACTCAGCAACTGTTTAAGACGCCGTTATGTCTGAAATATGGTCCAAAACGTGACAAAAATGAATTCAAATGAGACGGAATCGGTCCGAGATGTTTCCTACAAGACAAAAGAACTAAAATAACTACGACTTTTGTTTTGAACTTTTTTTTAAAATTATCAAAGACTTTAAAAATGCTGAAAATGACAAAAACATTTCAAAACAAACTGAAAAGCTGTGAAAAACCAGCCAGTGTCCAAAATGACAGGAACTGTCCAAATTCACTCTGAAGTCGTCCAAAACCACTGAAATGTGTTCGAAACAACAAAACTTAGTTCAAAGCAACACAGACCCGTCCTCAACAAAACCTGTGTCCAGAACCGACAAACCCAACGTCACCCACAGACTGAGCACACCCACGACCACCGCAGTCATCGTTAAAATGGAAATAACCGTCCACAGACGTTACCCAGAATAACTGAAGCTGGTTCAAATGACGCAAACGTTGTGTAAAATGACACACAAAGTGCACAAAACAGCAAAAAACACAAACCGGTTCTTGTCCAGAATGACTCAAAAATGACAAAATCTGATCAAATAACCTCAAAACCGGTCATTAAATTGAACATAACAAGAAAAAAAAAAGGTCCAAACGTCTCAAAATGTGTCTGAAATGAAAAAACGAGACGGAATTAAACTTCGGTAAGGTTTTTCCAAAAAGACCTGGAAATTGTGCACGATGCTCTGAACGGTCCAAAGTGGAGCGAAAACGTGTCCACAGTCTCAGAAATGCTGAAACGTTTTGTTGTGGATCGGTGGAGGGACTCCAAGCAGCAAGCAGGGGACGGAGAAACATTTGTGAGGACGGATCAAAGACTCCTCAGAGAAAATAAAACCACGATGTTGGTGAATCTTAGTGAGGACGACGGCGGTCGAGAGTGAAGCCAGAGGAAGAGGAGCAGAGGTCTGATTTATCTCCAGCGCTCGAGGCAGAGCTGCTGTCGCAGGTCGAGCTGACCGAAGCTCAGGACTCGCAGACCTGGAAGTTTCAAACCTTTCATCAGGCAGCTAAAAAAAGCAGCATCAGAGCCAGGAAGCTGCTGACGGGGCCTGGAAGCAGGAAATGACGCCGCCGATGAATGATTTCTGACGAGAGCAGCTGCAGCAGCCAAACCTCTGGTTCCTCTGGACCTGATTCAGGAGAAAGAGTGTGTGAGCGGAACATCTCTGGGCTCTGAGCTGCTGAGGCATGAACGTACTCCGTTTGATCCATTTGAAATCTGAGCAAAACGTCTCAAAACCTGTCCAAGATAACAGAAATGTGTCCACAATGAGGCACAGACGTTATGTTGCTGAGGCCACGACAACAGCTAAATTAAAAACTTACAGCCGGGAGACTTTTCTGGGCGTCAGGACGGTGAACGGCGCTGGAATCGCAGCTGGAATCGCAGCGATCCGTTGTGATGTGGACATCCTGCACCAACATGGAGTCTGATCAGAGATGATGCCGGCAGTTACCCGAGAGAGCAGGAAGCGGTACGAACGTAAACAAAGGAGGAGGAAGAGAGCCGGATCCATGCTAGGCTAAAGGCTAACCCCTCCAGACCAGTTGGATCCATGCTAGGCTAAAGGCTAACCCCTCCAGACCAGCAGGA